CTGCTACTTTCACTTATCAGATATTTTTAAAGTTTCAAGTGTCTGAAGAGTACATTTTGTGTTTCATCTACTTTGCAGCTGCTTTAATATCTGGTCCACATTATACTCGCAAAGCACAAGCTCTATATTTTGCCAGAAATATCTGAGCAGCTTGGAAACAGCCAATAGAGTCTCTCTGGAGCGGAAAAAAAACCCCTCTCTTTCTATTACATTTAGAAAGAGAAGATACATACACAAGAACATTAAAAACCACTCAGGAAAGGGCTGGATATATCCTGAAAACATTGAATTGCTTTCTTCTCTTTTAAACTGCCTCTGGCAGAATGAAAACATCAGAGTGGCTTCAAGATTCATGGCCTACTTAAAAAAAAAATAATTTAAGGCAGTGAGGGGAGAAGGTCAAACATACAAACAAGCAGTAAATTACAAAAGCCACTGTGACTAGCTCAAAATGAAATGGCAAACCACCGAGACAGCCAGTATTAACTCAGGAATGACTTTCTGGGTCCTGTGATTAGACAATTAAGCTGCTGTCCCTCAGGTTATCAGAAGCACTCGATGGGGTGTTTCTGCTTAAAACAAGGGTATGATACACAAGGTCTGTATCTGATTTAAGATGATCCCCAAATTCCCAAGTATGCATGCCCAGAGGCATATTTAAGATTCTAAGGATTAGCGAGCTGATTTTACTAAGCATTGTGTGTGGGGTTTATTATTATGAAAGCCAGCCAGAAAGACTGGAAAGGTAGTTTGCTCAGCACCTTAAATTACATACTTCTGATTTCATAACTAGAGGTAACTGAGGGCTCTAGTTACAGACTCATCAGTATGTGGCAATTGTCCCTCCACAGAACTTTAATACTAGAACTTAGAGCAAATAAATATCTAGGTCTTTAAATTATAGGAAATGTATCCGAGCAAGTGAAAGTACAAGCAGCAGTGGAGGGCAGATTTCAATGAAAAATGTAGAAGGAAAGGTTCTCTAAAAGATAAGCAAAAGATAAATAAACTGATTACAAAGAGAAAGAGATAGATTCCTAGTGAGACAGGAATCAGTAGGACTTCTTACTGAGAGGAAGTGGATGGATAAACATCCTAAAACACATGTCCCTGACAAACCAAAGGCACATCAACAAAAGCTGCAGCAGGCTGCAATCCATCTCGCCAACACAGGCAAGAGAGCAACGACAAACACACAGGAGGCGATGGGAAAACCAGAAAGATAGTTAAAACTAGATAAACATGTACAAACACACACTCGCAGAGGAGGCTGGCAGGCAAAGCCTCGGCTTAATCAGAGGCATATTAACGAGGAGCTGCTGCAAAGCTGCCAAATACACCAGCCGAAACAATTTTCTGCCCCCCACACACAGTGTCAGAGCTCCCAGCTACAACAGCCCAACCTGCAACCCGCTCTCAGGTGCTCAGATTGCTTTTTGATGCTTCTGAATGAAAGAGGCACACAACAGGCCAAAAAAATCCCCATTTGTGCTAAAGACACTGAACGCACCCAACACAGGGTTTTGATTTCACGACACCAGCTGCAGCAGCACACACGCTGCGCCCCAGCACTTGAGCTGTGTCTCACATTTTGGGGGAGAAGCCGCCTTTTTGCGGTGTGTTATGCTGTACAACACGCAGAAAGTCACAACAGGTTTACTAGTAGACTAAAGGGCACAAAACAATGCCCGACAATTAACTTTGCAACATCTACACAGCGGAAAATTTCAGCAGCTCGCCCACTTCCTTTCCTGCCATTCTCTGCCAGTAGAAGTAAGTACTAGTTAGCACGTTACAATAAAAAATGGATGATTTAATGAAGGATGCCAGAAACGAATCAAGTGAGCACCCTGCTTACCTGAAACTGAGATATCCACAGTGTCTGAGCATAATGCAAGCCTCCTACACACCGTGATTTTTTTCTTAGAACAATCTTACTTCAGCAAGTAGCCTTACTTTCAATGTACAGAAAAAAAATATGGCTTTTTTTTTTTTTTTTTGGCTACTCCCCCACAACTAAACAAGCGATCACTTAGCTCTCTACCCATGCAGGCTTCAGTGTGCAGGACATGAAATGTCGATTTGTGAAGGTTAGCAATGAACTGAGAGCACAACTTGACTTTAACATATGTCTGGCAGCAGAACCATTTTAAAAGGTCCTCCCCATACATGAGTGATTTTATTCCTCCTCCTTCCTGGCCCCTCCGTGGTGGGGATAGCAACATTAGTGAGACAGCACGCTAGATACCCTCAGTTAAGGGTGAGAGCCTAAAATAAAATCTCATCTCAAATGCCTGGAGCGTATTTCACCTGCTGAGACACTGAGAGGGTAGAAAAGCAAAGCAGAAGGACAGGAAAAAGCAACCATGAATTTCAGATGACAGGAACCCCTTAAATCAGCTTTGTCTAACACCAAAACATACACTTCTTAATCTGTTGCTCAGGCTTTGTGATCCTACCATGACTCTACCTATGTATATTTCAACAGATGTTTGAGAGCACATGAATTCATAGAGCTCAACCCAACAAATGACCATTATTTTAATTTGGTTCCTTGCTTACCTTGCTCCTCGTTATCTTAACTAGCTTGAATCACCTGGCAATTAACCAGCACACAAACCTCTTTCTCCCAGCAGACAATAATCTAAGCAACTTCAGCACAGAAAGTACAGGATGGTTCCCTCTCTGCTTTCTCACCAACCTCCTCCTAGAACACCGACTTCTGATATTCCTCTGTGAGGAAAAAAACAAAGACAGCACGTGCATACAGCAGAAAATATTACTTGCTATTTTGTTGTGCATTTCTGGGGTACAACACTCCAGCTTTCCCTGTATCACCTAGTAAAGGAAGGTATTGGAAGTTCTCTGCTTAATTCCAATTCCAGCTGGAATTTAAGCTTTTTGGAGAGAGAGGAAGCAGAGAGGCAACCACAACCCTGCCCCTCACAGCTGCTCTGACAGCACAGTAAGCACCAAGAGGTAGACGGGAGCACTGGTGTTGCTCACACACCAGAAGTAAGGCAGATTCTTTACAAAGTTTAACTTCACTTTCTACTCTTCCTCCAGGCATTCAGCCAGAGAAACCTGTGAGTTGCTGAGCTGACAAACCGAGAGAGGACTATGTTCTGCCCCAAACCAGTCATTAACTAAGATCCACAAGCAATGTAGGCATCTGAATCTCACTGATTTCAGTGAAAGTTATGATGCAGTTTACAGCTCCTGGCCTCTACAACAAGTAGCCCAAACGCCTATTTCAGAGAGTCTGACACAGATTCTTTCAGCAGGTCTAAATGTCAGGAGGCTGGAGTTTTTCTTCCCTGAAAATACAGAGCACTTATACATATAGGTTGCCAGACCAAAATTTTATTAGGAAAGCCACCAAGGCTTTCAACTGTAACTCTGAAATAAAATCCTCTTTTCAGTAAGAATGCTAGCTAGTGCACAGGGCTTACTCTGACAGCCACACGCAATTTAAGCCTCAAACTTTAGAATTTTCCCTCCGTAACACGGCAAGTTATACACCATCACTAACCAAAGCTTTTCCACCACGAACAGCAAGTTTGCTAGATGTCATTGCAAAAACCTTCTTGGGACCCAGGACGAGTCTAGAACAATTCCATCTTCACTCACAGCCAAGTTATAAAATACACAAATTAATTTCCTTTTTTCCTAAGGGATGAGCAACAGATGCAGTTAACTCGTCCCACAAACCACAGTTTTGCATTTCAAGTTGCAGATACAGCCAGACACTATGAGCTCAAGTCTCCCAAACGGTTTTTATTCAAAGTCACTCCCACACGGCGCAACAAGCCCCTCCAGGAGGTCGGAAGCTCCTGGGCTGATCGGGAAAACATCACCTGCAGACTTTCCAAAACAGAGCGTACCCCACTCAAGTCCCCAGATCATATATTGTAGTCATTTACTCTAGCTGCCATACAGAGCTTTCTCCCCCCACCCCATCATGCCACAAGCCCAGTTTGGCAAGCTTTGCCACCGCCTTTCAAAGAAATCCAAGGCGGGCAGCGTGGAGGGAAGGGCCCGGTGTCGACGACGCCGTCCCCAGGCACAAACTGCCGCTTCTCCCTGTTTTCAAGCCACACTCGGTGCTTTTTGGGGAAGGTGAAAGCACCCACCCGGGCAGGGACCCAGGGGGCTGTGGGCTCACCCGCCCTCACGGGTGATGAACGAGGGCTCCGCATTCCTGGGGCAGCGCTGCTTCCCCCAGTCCCTGTCCCCCCTCTCACCGCAGAGACCCCCCATAGAAACAGCGAGGTGAATACACCCAGCCCCAGAGACCACCTACCCCTCACAGCAACACTGAGGTGAATTCACCCACCTCCCACAGCAACACTGAGGTGAATTCACCCACCCCCACAGCAACACTGAGGTGAATTCACCCACCACCCAGAGCAGCACTGAGGTGAATTCACCCACCCACCAGACAGCACTGAGGTGAATTCACCCACCACCCAGAGCACACTGAGGTGAATTCACCCACCACCCGAGACACCCAGAGCAACAGAAGTGAATTCACCCAGCCCCAGAGACCACCTACCCCCCAGCAACACTGAGGTGAATTCACCCACCACCCAGAGCAACACTGAGGTGAATTCACCCACCACCCAGAGCAACACTGAGGTGAATTCACCCACCACCCAGAGACCACCCAGAGCAACAGAAGTGAATTCACCCAGCCCCAGAGACCCCTACCCCTCACAGCAACACTGAGGTGAATTCACCCACCACCCAGAGCAGCACTGAGGTGAATTCACCCACCCTCCTAGAGACCACCCAGAGCAACACTGAGGTGAAGTCACGCCACCCCACAGCAACACTGAGGTGAAGTCACCCACCCCCACAGCAACACTGAGGTGAAGTCACCCACCCCCCAGCCCATCACCCTCACGGGAAGACCCTCCTCGCCCTCACACCCCCACCCCCGCCGCCTGAGGGCATTACCTCAGGAGGCGGCTGCCCCGGCCCCCCCCGCCGCCCCGTACCCGAGAGCCCCCCCGCCGCCGCCGTGGCGGGCTGTCGAAAGGCCGGCGCCAGGCTCCAGGTGAAGAAGGCCGAGAGGCCCATGAGGGCGCCGGCCGCCGCGTAGGCCAGGCGCAGGGCGAGCGCCCGGCTCACCGCCATCGGAGCGCTGCTGCGCCGCCCCGCCCGCCGGCAGCTGGCCCCGCCCCGCGACAGCGCGCCCCCTGGCGGCCGGGGGGACCCGGGGGAGGCCCGGGGCGGGGACACGGGGGGCGGGGGGAAGACGGGGCGGAGATTGGGGACGCGGGGAGTGGGGACATGGGGGGACACGGGGAGTGGGGACGTGGGGGGACGCGGGGAGTGGAGACATGGGGGGACGCGGGGAGTGGGGACATGGGGGGACACGGGGGGACACGGGGAGTGGGGACATGGGGGGACACGGGGGGACACGGGGAGTGGGGACATGGGGGGACACGGGGAGTGGGGACATGGGGGGACATGGGGAGTGGGGACATGGGGGGACACGGGCAGTGGGGACATGGGGGATGCGGGGAGTGGGGACATGGGGGGACACGGGGGGACACGGGGAGTGGGGACGTGGGGGGACGCGGGGAGTGGAGACATGGGGGGACACGGGCAGTGGGACATGGGGGGACACGGGGAGTGGGGACGTGGGGGGCGCGGGGAGTGGAGACATGGGGGGACACGGGCAGTGGGGACATGGGGGGACATGGGGAGTGGGGACATGGGGGGACACGGGCAGTGGGGACATGGGGGGACACGGGGAGTGGAGACATGGGGGGATGAGGGGAGTGGAGACATGGGGGACACAGGGGGACACGGAGAGTGGGGACATGGGGGGACGCAGGGAGTGGAGACATGGGGGGACACAGGGGAATATGGGGAGTGGGGACATGGGGGGGACATGGGGAGTGGAGACATGGGGGGACACGGAGGGTGGGGACACGAGGGGATACGGGGGGACACGACGAGTGTGGACATGGGGGGACACGGGGCGGAGATTGGGCATGGGGAGTGGGGGCACGGGGGGTCATGGGATGGAGATTGGGCATAGGGAGTGGGGACACGGAGTGGGGACACGGGGGATACGGGAGGACATGGGATGGACATTAGATATGGCGAGTGGGGACATGGGGGGACACGGGGAGTGGGGACACAGGGTGGACATGGGGTGGACATGGCGAGTGGGGACACAGGGGGACATGGGACGGACATGGAGAGTGGGGACATGGGGGACACGGGGAGTGGGGACACAGGGTGGACATGGGGCGGACATGGGGAGTGGGGACATGGGGGGACACGGGGCAGACACTGGACATGGGGAGTAGGGACATGGGGGGACACAGGTGGGCATGGAGAGTGGGGGGACGTGGGGGGGTGGGGATGACACACAGATAGACCTGGGGAGTGAGGACATATCGGGGGGGGGGCATGGGGACATGGGGGATATGGGGGGCATGGGGACACAAGAGTGGGGACACAGGAGGACATGGGCATGGGACACGGGGTCTTGAGGGACACAGGTGGACAGAGAGGAGTGGAGACATGGGGGGCCATGGGGACACGAGGGTGGGGACATGGGGACATGGGAGGGACACAAGGGAGACATGGAGGGCATGGGGAGGGGTTAGGGACACGAGGATGGGGAGATGGGGACATGGAGGCATGGGGGGGACATGGAGATGATGGGGGACAGGGAGGCACAGGGTTAGGTGGGACATGAGGACACGGGAGCACTGGGACAGGGGAGCACGTGGCGTTGGGGACATTCTCTGTGTGGCCTTTGCTTCCTCTCTCGGGGAGTTTTCCTTCCTCAGCCAGCACCATCCTGCTCGGTTGTGGCATTGTGGCTTTGGGGACACCTCATAAAAGTTCTTAAATACTTTGGGGGCTTTTTCATTCTCACTTTCTCTCCTCCCCCTCCCCCCCCTCCTTTTTTTTAAAAAACATTTTGTCATTTTCTGAGGTGCTGCCTGGGTTTGGCTGCACTTAAACCCAGGGGACAGAAACTTGCAGCAGGGATGGAGACGAGAATGGGCTTTTTCCACCTATTTTGAATCAATTATTAATTGCACTTATGTAAGAGGTACATCGTCTGCTGCTCAAGGACGGCAGGGGCGGATGCTCTACCCAGAGCCTGGGAATCCATTACTTGCTCTATTCCAGCTCATAATGTTTTTTCCTTAATTTTCCGGATTTAGTCTCTACCAAGATGATCTTTCCAGGCCTGGGAGAGTGCAGCTTGGCTGCTGTGACCGCATGCAGAGGAGTCCCTGCTCTAGATGGCAGCAGCTTCCTTCCCTTTCCCTGAGATAGCCCTGAGCAACATCTCCCCTTCCCTCCTTTACTTTATCCAGTGAGACCCTGAAAACCCCCAAGGATGGAGTTTCTCCATATATCCCACGTGAACCTCTCTGACTTCAGCCTCCTGCTGTGAACCACCATGAAGAACCTGGCTCCATCTTCCCGATAACCTCCTTCTAGATGCTCGAGGCCGCTGTTATGTGTCCCCAAGACTTTTCTTTTGGCTGAACAAGCCCCATTTCCTCAGCTTTTCCTCATGCAGAAGCTCCAGCTTCCAGCCGTGCTCCAGCCTCCGACTCTTTCGGTGGCCCTCCTTTGAATTCACCCCAGTTCATTGATGTCTGTCTCCTGCTGGTGGCCCAAAACTGGACACAGCATCCAGATGTGGTGCAACAAGTGCTGGGCGGAGGGCAACAAGTGACAAACCGTCGGAGAACATGGGCGGGATGCGGAGGATCCTCATTTTTTGAAGGACATGATGATGAGGACAGTCACGGCATGTCTGCAAATGTTGACGTTCACTGGGGCTGAGAGACGTGGCTGAGGCTCCAGCTCCACCAGTTCAAGAGCAGGTCATGCGATCCGCGAGCGGAGAAAATGTTTATGCAGTGCGAGCGACCCGTAAAGCCTTATCACATTCTTGGCTGAAGAATCGGAAAAATTCACGGGGGAGCTCACCGCAGGGCCCGGAGGAGAAACGGCATTTCTTGGGCAGCACCGTGGGACGTTATTCCGAGCACACCTCACGCCTGAGGTGCTGAACGCGCATCGGTCACGGTCACTGGTGAGAACGTGGATAATCTTGCAGCTCGTTTGGGTTCAGCAACGCTGAGTCGCAGCCTGACGTATCCTGGGCCTGAGCACAGTCCCCGAAGACTCGGTGACATTAATAAAATACCTGGTGCCCTTGGGATGGATGGCTGCAAAGACCCGCTTGTCCTGGGTGCCTTTGGCTGGGGGAGGGACTTGCTGTTTGTGTTTTTTTAGCATAAAATCCTTGAGACCTGCAAAAAACTCTCTTCCCTGACACCTCCTGCAGCCACTGCAGGAATTCAGATGCTGCGTGCATGTACCTGAAAGCGCAATAAGCAGAGTCAGCAAACGCCAGTCAGCTATTCTGTGTCAAAACAGGTAAAATGAGCTCCATCTCTGTTCTCTCTTCCCAGACTCTTCTCACACGTACTTTCTGCCAATTACCCAGCAGAAATTTGGAGACAACTTCTGTAGTGTCATTCCAACTCAGCTGAGTCTGCCCAAATGGCTGGTGCCAGAGACAAAAAGATTTTGTGGAATGATTTTTTTCAGGTAGAAAACCTCTCTGACCCGAGCAGAAACAAGTCTGTTTTTTTATAGATGATCAAGGTTCAAATGGATCATTTAGGGAAGATGAGGCCAAAGCAGAAAGTCATCCAGAAGGATCTGGGGAGATATAATAAGGGGAGCAGGTAATGGGGAGCAGGTCTATGACTTCAAACAACCTCAGAGACGGTCAATGTGTCTTTTAAAAGGCTGCAGGAGGCATCTGGAGGTCAGAAGTGGGTAGGTCTGTCTCCAGTCTGGGTGATGGGTTTGGGAGACCTTTGGCTGTTCCCACAGAAAACAACAGGACATCGACATGGGTAAATAGCGGGAAAGAGTAAATGCTGCTTTGGAAAGTGGAATAAAGTGGCCTCGTGGACATAATGTACATTGATTTTGAGAGAAATCCATTCTGTTGTGCTCCTTCACCTCTGCTGATGGGAAGGAAACAACTCCCCTGCGTTAATAACCATCCACCAGACAAGACCGAGGAGCTGGTGGGAGATCGGTCTGTGTCAGTGCATCCCACTCTGCGCCAGGCGCGGGGAGATCCTGGAGAGATGCTGAGATACGGGGCAGGGTTTGAGGGTGGATCTGGCGGGGAGCTCGGCTCAAGGGTGCAGGTCCCAGCTCCGATGTGCGACAGGACTCGGGAGCAGGATCAACACGTGGAAATGCCCTGGGCTGCAGCTGATACCAACCAACAGCCGAGGAAGAAGAGAGCGGTGCGGGTGTCCCTTCGTCAGAAAGAGGATGAGAGCGGCACGGCTGGTCGCGGGAGGCCCCCGAGGAGGGGTTGACATCACCCTTGGTAGGTTGCTGCCATGCAGACGTGCGTGTCTGGGCCAGCCAGCGGTGAGAGAAACGGGCACTTCGGGGCATGAGTCACCTCATCCCGAGTTAAAGATCTCAGCCAGCTCAGGAGAATCGCGCCCAAGGAGCGATTCGCACCTTAAATCCCTGCCAGCACCGTGCGAGCAGGTCTGGCAGCTGGCGTGAGCGTGCACCTCAGTGCCGAAAGAGTCTGGGTTTGGGCAGCAATCTGCTTTTTTGATCAGCCCGGTGTTACAGTGCCAAAGCAAGTTGATCCCCAGGTGGAAAAGCAGTGCTGCCAGGATCAGAATCCCCCTCAGCAAGTGCAATTCTCTCCATCCACGGAGCAACAAACCCCAAATCTGCAGGAGGTAACGAGAAGCTGAGTGTGCATGGAGGAACCTGGGGGTCTGGAGATCCTCCTTCCTTGCCCAGGAGACAAATGCAATCACTGGACAGGAGTCCTGCACCATGCCCAGCTGACCTTTTTTGGGATGCTGAGCTAGAGGAGACGTGGTTTCCACAATTCCCTGAGCCTCTGCATCACCCTTGTCCACAACCTTGTCCGTTCTGGGACAAGGCAAGTTTGGAGCACCCTCAGCCAACTCACCAACACGTTGGAAGCAATAGCAACCTCAAGCTGGCCTCGGGATTAAGATGATTAGAAGCTGCTGGAATTTGCATGGCCTAATTAAAGATTCACTGAGCAGACACAATGAGCCGGCGCTGAGCAGCTAGCCCGGCGCTCGCACTGTATTTCCCCGTGGGCT